AAACTTTTCAGGCCACACACGTATAAAATAAATGCTATTTCTTTCATTAGGCTATGAACTCAATGACTGGCACAAAGACAAGTACACACATACACGTATACACACACACATACACGTATACACACACACACACACAGACACACACACACACACAGACGCACATATGCACGTGCTTATTATATCTGATTCTGACCATTTCTTGTAATTTTTTAGATATGAGTAGATATACATTTTCAAACTACTTACACAAATGGGTATATATCAGTGCACGCACATACTGGCACAATATATATATATATATATATATATATATATATATATATATATATATATATATATATATATATAATTCAGCCCTTCGAGGACTAACGAAAGACCAGGCACGCACGCCTAGTTCAGCTGCATCCTGGCATTTTCTGTGCATATCCCTAGAGGCAATTTTGGATGATGAAATGTAAAAGAAACAGGAAGTCATATAAAGACAACTGATTGCCCACACACGTTGTCTGGCACACATTTTTCATCATCTCTTATTTTTTCCTGTACATCCCATAAAAAAAAAAACAGCACATAAACACGTGCAAGTTACAAACGCACACACACATACACGCACACACACATACTCTCACACACAAGATATTTATTTATGACATATGTACATAACTTATTATCAACATATTAGAATGTATATAAAAATGTGTGGATAGCAGAAAGGTTATCGGCGCGGAAAATGGAAGCGTCTAGCGAAGTTCAAGTTCCCTTCTTGTCTGTTACTTTCACTTCTCAATAACGTAATCCCCCACCCAACTCTTACATATGCCTCACATCAACAGGACAGTCTGCGCTCTCGGAACTTGACAGGTCAAATTTCAAAATACCATCGAGATAGCCGCGGAAAACCACTCTACTATTTTTCCCAAGTAATGGTAATTAACAGATAATAAAGAAAATGGAAACAGTGGAAAGCCATGATTGCCTACGTCTTATAGTGATATGCTATTTAAAAATATCCGCTGTTCGTAATATATATATACATATATGTATATATATATATATTGTGTGTGTGTCTTAGTGTGATTAGTATGTCGATGTGAGCGCAGTATAATGGTTATCGGCGCTAGACATGGAGTCAGTTCAAGTCGATTCTCTTTCGTTCGCTTCGCACTATACACTTGGAAAAGGCACGAACACATCCTCTTCCAGCTAGGCGTTAAATACTAGGAATGGACTTGATTGGACACTCTTCACTTGGTTGTCATCTCTTTTTAGGAATAAGGAAAACCTAATTCAAACCAGAAGAGATGTGTTTGGAGACTTCGTGGCATACTGTGCGCCATTTTTCGCTGTCATCGTTCATTTTTTTCTTGTTTAAGGTTTTTCTTTTTTTTATTTCTTTTAAGATATAGTCTGTTGGTTGTATCAACATGATATATATATATATATATATATATATATATATATATATATATATATATATATATATACCAAGAATGTCTCCTGATAAATTTTCTTTTAAATAAATGAATAATCTCATAAAATAATTTAATAAAGTAATTTCATTAAAATAAAATCTCATAAAAATTAAATAATTTCATTACTTTCATTATGCTAAAAGTTCAAAAAATATCACACGCGCACGTAGACGTATATATATATATATATGTGTGTGTGTGTGTGTGTGTGTGTGTGTGTGATAAAAATATAGTTTTACGTTATGTTATATTCATAAGTAGACGGACTCAAGGATAAAGAGTCTGTAAATATAAATGTAGTCTCCGAAGTGAACGCTATCTTCAGGCCATGTGTAAACTATAGTGGCTCGGCTCTCTATACAGGGAGCGATAGGTAAATTTTTGCCATTTTACATCTTTAATTTTTACGCCTGTGCGTTGTTTATTTTTCATTTTGTCTTCTGCACAGAATTGTAGGGTCATTTGGGCACTGTCTATGAGAAAAAGAGCACCATGATGCAATTCAATCCGCCAGAACTTTGGAAATGGCATGCTTGGCATTCCTACCGGAAGCTCCAATACGAACATTTCAGAGAGTTTGGGTGTCAATAACAATGAAGAGGATTCTGAAAGAGTTGCATGAGTCTAATGGTGATTACGAAGGTAAGGCAGCTAGGAAAACTCACACTGATAAGAAAAGAACACCCGACTTTGTTGGTGATGACCTCAGATACATCAGGGAGGCCTACATTAAGTGCCTTGAGGAAGCAGTTTTGCTCGAGATCAAAAAGGTGGCTGCTACAAGACCCTATGTCTGGCAACAGGATTCTGCACCATGTCGCACAAGCAGAACTTAGTCATGGCTGTCAGACAATTTCTGCGATACATCACCCTTTACATCTGGCAACCTATCTCCCCAGACTGCAGCCCTCTTGATAATTATATGTGGGGTGCAGTTGTGCGAGAGACCAACAAAACACCCTGTAACAGCATTATGGCGGCATTCACTAATTTAAACAAGGAGACCGTCCAGAAGAGTTGCTGGAGATTCTGAAGTCGTCTGGAGGCTGTGGTTCACGCCAATGGCGATTTTATTGAATAAATTAACTCTTTAGTACTTCAAGATATTTTAATGTAATGTTTATAAATATAACTGTTAAAATAGATGTCTTTTGAAGTTGAGATAGTTCAGTATAGTCTAGCAATCAGATTTCCCCACCTGGAATTTTGTGCCTACACACACTTCAATGCTATCAAGTATCGCATACACAAATACCAAAGTAAAATAACATTACTGGAAATACATACATACACACACACACACACACACACACACACACACATATATATATATATATATATATATATATATATATATATATATATATATATATATATATGGGTGCATCTGTAGGTATGGGCGTGAGGCAGAGTGCCACAAATGACGAAAAAAAGGTGAAATAAATAATGGTCTACAGTGGACTGCCTTTTCCGGAAATTCTTCATTTGTTACACGTTGATGAAGTTGATTTGCACGCTCTTAGAAATACCATAAGGAAGCCTTTGTCAGGTTATGTAGAATGTCTCAGAGTAATATCTTTTGACAAGCTATATTGTAATCGATATTTCCCAATCGACTTCCAACTGGAATTTTTGACGGGTTACCATCTAGTCCTAAAAATGTCAAGCAGGTTTCCAAACATTTTTGGGCTGTTTTTGCCTTCGAAGTTCATCTTCGACAGTCAGAAGAAATTTTTAAGAAAATCTGCCGAATCTTTAAAAACAACATCTAGCACGACGCCGAGTTTCACGATTGCTATTATCCACACCATCGTTATCAGCTTCATCTTCGTCATCTTCATTATCATCTGTCCAATGACGGGATCTTGTTGTCGATTTGCTGTGCAGCTGAGCCCCTGATCAGTTCCCTTCACATATCTGGGTTGGAAACCATAGAGGCATTTATTCATGATTAGCATGTTTTGAGAAAATTGACCTAGCAGAGTCTAAGTCAAGCCACAACAGATATCCCCCAACTCTCCTTCGTCAAGGGGCACGCTTAAGAGGCCCTTCGCCTGTCATCACCGCATTGATTACATCCATCGCTATGAAGCCCAGTCTACCCAATTATACTAGGTGAACATTAACCCTACGCTATTTTAGAGATCTTGTTATTAATCCTGTTGGCTGTTTAACCTCCTTCCTCACTTGAAAAGCCTGTGAGGGAGCCATTTTACTCGCCAATGGACCGTTTGTGGCACTAGTAGCACTTGTAGATTTTCCTTTAAAGGGCGCAAACTCGATACTGCTTCTTTCTTCGCCAAAAATGCAGTCATGAAATTTGACAAAATAAAATATTTCTGTTCTTGAACAACTCGTGTAGTGTTCGCAACTCACGTCGAAAGCTTCTGTAAAATCCTAGAAGGATCTGTATATATATATCGCTATATATATATATATATATATATATATATATATATATATATATATATATATATGCCATCGCATAAGATGCTGGAAGAATAGTCGGTTCCTTCAATGTCCCCGGAAAATATCCGACCCCTATTGTCATGGTCTGTCTTTACGTGTTTACGGTGGCAAATCATCCGATTCCCTTCATGTTCCTTTCAAGTCGTGGGTTGACGATAAACTACATCCAGCAGCAAGGCCTCTGATCAGTAGATTGGAGGTTTTTGGGAGCGTGTAAACACTTCTTAATTGTTGTTTTTCCCAGGTTCACCCTGACCAAGATCGGTAGCACCTGTTAGGCTCCCAGCTATCGGCAAATAGTAAGTCAGAAAACAAAAACAAAACACTGTGAAATTATAAAAATACATTTCTGTGATAAATATACAAGCAATATACTTATATAATATATTTAGTTGAGACATAAAATCGTGTTCAAAATATTTAGATTTTGGCATTAAATAACCCATAGATTTGTTGATATGCTGCTAAACAAAATCATCCAATAATCATGTTCCTTTTATGGGTCCACCCATCTCCTTTCCTAGAAGTGTTTTTTTCTGGAGCAAACTCCGGAGAGGATGCCACCATGACAGCTATAATCTGGGTCTCTTCAATTCGAGTCTATAGTCAACTAATATCTATCCTACCCGTCTTCATAACGAGCATTTCTTACTCCCTTACAACATTTTGGCTCAATAACCTTTTAGCGTAAAAGAGCTTTTGCCTTTGTATTCACTGAACTAACAGTATAATCAAAAATCTATAAAAAGTGTATCTAATACTGAAAACGTCATTAAAAGTTTATATAAGCAAAAGAGTGATTGATTTTTACAGCTTATCAACCCATTACATTAAAGCCAGAAATTATTTTTAGATTGTAAGAAGATTTTGGCGATAATAACGATTTATAATACAAGTTCTACTTAATTAACCCATAAATCGATGGAGGAGAAGTGAAGTCGCACCCTTTTCCAAGGGTAGTTGCGCGTAAGTGAATAGAAGGAACCCAGCTGGAATTCGAACTCGGCTCTACCGATTTCCAATTCGTTATCCATTAAACAACGCGCACAGCCAAGGTAGAGCACCTGGTATTCCCAAGCGGTCACCGATCCAGGTACTGACCAGTCTCGACGTTGCTTAACTTCGGTGATCGTACGAGAAGGGATGTTTCAACGTGATATCGACGTAAGCCATAAACAAAAGAAAAAACAGCTCAGCCTAATATTTTTTTTTTATTTTACACTTTGTATAAAGGTTTCTTTATAATTGTAAACAATTGCAGCTGGTGGGGTTAATAATAATGTTTTTTTTTTACTGTAATACAATAGTATATAAGAGGAATTAAAATGAAAACAATTACACACTAGTTTTCAAAATCGGAAAATATAGATTTTAAATATGCTTATCTCACATCCTTCATATTTCTAAATAAATGACCAAAACTATTCTAAAAGATATTTCTAAATAAATTCTAAATAATAATCTCTAAATATATTTCTAAATAAAAGGCCAAAACTTTTATCTTTCTAATATAGTCATTTTCCAAGCATAGCTGTGGAAAAAGCCGAAAGTATAGGGCATCTAGTGAGGATCGAACTCACTTTTCAGCTGTAACTGATCTAGCGAGACAAGCTTGCTAACCATTACACCACGCCGAGGTGCCCCTTTCTTTCTAATATAGCAAGAGACGACGAAAGATATGGCACAAAACTCCAAACTTGAATCGTCATACCAAAAACGCCTTCCAGTAACTCCAAACTTGAATCCTCATACCAAAAGACGCCTTCCAGAAACTAAGCAAAGAAAATGTCGCCAGAAACAAAGAAAAGAGTGCTGAAAATCTATTTCAAAACTGTTATCCTTTGTAACAATGAATGCTGGCCAGATTTGGAAGAGGCTCAAAGATATGGTACAAGAGACGATCGGATGCTGACAGTACCCTGGACTATGAGCAATAAAAAAGCTTTAAAAAAAGGTGGGGACCAGAAGGAAACTTATACTTAAAATGTAGAAAGGACAGTTAGATTTTTTCTAGGATATTTTATGAGGGAAGTGGGTTTAGAGAATTTGACGCTCACAAGGACATACTGAAGGCAACCGAAGCAGAAGAAAAGAAACAGTAATTTACCTAACGAGTTTGTATGAATAAATGGCGGAGAGAGCGGGGGCAAAGACGAATGGTAAAGAGTTTAGAAATGTCAGGATCTCAAAGGGACAGGAAGTTGTGGTGAACCATAATCGCCCCCCCACTGAAGTAATACAAGAGCATAAAGAAGAAATGCAGAGAATGTTAAACAGTAGAATATCCGTTAGAAATCTGTTGGTCGTTGAATTCTTGCCAGTTTCGCTTCGTCGCTTTCCTCGCGACTCACATGCCAATACTCTTTCGTTTTAAAACCGGAAATTGTTTTATTTCTTCTTTTCTTTTCTTTTCTTTTCCTTTCTTTTCTTTTCTTTTGTTGTTTATGCATATTATTTATTTATTTATGTATGATTTTGTTTCTCAAAATGCAACATTAAAATCCCACGCAAGAGAAACTGATATGTTTACATGGTACTTAACGCTAAACACTGACGACGGGGTGGGTAGGGGTTTGTGAACATACTGCACATCTGCTGCAAGTATTCAAACCCCCCCCACCTCACTCATTCCGTTATTCTGAATAAGTCCCTTCGGTAATTTCGATCTTGGACAAGTCATATTACATCTTCAAATATTGTAAGTCCTTAATAAGTTGCGATCATACTGAGTGTCCCTACACTCGCACACACACACTAACACACACGCACACACACACACACACACACACACATACATACATACATACATACATATACTCACCAACAGATACGCATATATATAAATAAATATAACACACTTTACAAGAAACAAACGCGCGCACACACACACACACATATATATATATATATACGGAAAAAAAGCGATTCCAAATGTTTAGTCAAATTTCAGATGTTTGGGTCAGATTCTGATGTGGGTCGGGCCAAGAATAAAAAAAACTCCTCATGCATATGTACATATATATTGAAGTCTCAATTTTCATCATTTTTCAAGTACATGCTTATTTTAAGATTTGCCAAATTTTAAAAAAATTACCAGATTTGAATGAATTAAAACCTTTTTTTCTATGAGCAGAAGAACATGTATTTGAACAAGTGACTGTCTGGATGAGTCAGACCTGAGAAATATGTCTCATGTAGAAGTACATGTAAATGACGGAACAAGAGACTGCCTAAATTATACAGACTTGGGGAATATGTAGTACAAATGACAGTACCAGAGACACTCTGATTTATATTCATCTGAGGAATATCTCACATGTCGTTAACAAGTAACAGTCTGAATTATAAAAATCTGTCTAATACATTTAACGTGAAAGAACAGGTTGAATGACACAGATATAGGGAAGATATCCCAGGTGGTAAAAGTGACAATGATTTTGGAAAGGCTATGGGTGCTAGGCGAATGGAACATTCCATTTATGGAATTGTAGGGACATTTGAAAACCATCGATTTGCGATCTAAGATGACCATCGTACCGGCAATACCTTATAGGTACCATTACCGCCTATCCAGATCAGCTCGGTTTAATGCACCTTGCAAGAATTATCTGTCCAGCAATATTGGCTCAAATCTCATCCAGATCCAATGCAGGAAGCACAAGTTCGCATATCAAGCAGGACAGTTCTTTGTTCATTAGCTTCTCTGCGATATGGAAGCAGATTGCAGAAGTGTGGTTTTGTTGTAGAGTAGTTTTCACAGTGTAGGCTTGTATTTCGCTAAGTCGGTCCTAAAAGGGTCCGACGTACAAAATGTTAGGAACTTGAAATAAGAGTTAATGACGCAGCAATCTAGTTGTGATGATACTTCAATGCCCGACATCGACTGACTCACTCAACTCCACTGAGCTCAACTGGCGACCGCTACTACTACTACTACTTATTATGTGTGGGAGAGTCTATTAATAATAGAATAGGTACGTTCAGGTATAACAGGTTTGTAACAATACGTCACGGTTCTAGTAGTTTCGTGTCGATAGCAGGTTTTTAGTGTGGTGCAGACCCTTTGAGGCCATGGATCCCAGTTACTAACAAGGTTCTGTGCAGGCTGGTGGCTTTCTGCAACTTAGGTTGGGCCCACTAGTCAGTCTAAACACGTCATTGATTGCTGACCTGTATGTTGTATTAACGATTTTCACCCATTCATGAACTCGCTGTATCCAACAACGATTTGTTCTTCCGACGTAATAATGCTCTTTATCATCCTGCCTACGTTTCGCTGAAAGGACTTGAGGAATATTCTAGTGATCTCCGACACCACTTTCGCCTAGCACGATGCCAATCGTCCATTCAATCGGCATGGTAAAGAGTTCGATTCGTGTGTAACATCCCTCAAGTGCAAATATCAGCGAGCTGTGGACAGCTGTCGAGACGAGCATGGTTCAGTAATTTCGTCAAAGGTCTTTCGGCAACCTGTGGAATTGATGTCACGACGTGTTGCTGCACATTGCCGCGTTTGATTGGATTTTACAGTATACCAATAGTTTTACAATATATACATATCATATGACTTTTGGCACGTCCGTGTATGATTTTAGTTATTTCCATGCCTTGGATTAAGGTGCAATATTCGCTTAAAGAGCTCATAAATAGACTTACACTATAACCTCTGACAGTTTAACTACTATTGCAAGCGACCTTAACTGTTAATTTTTTTTTATTTCTATTCTCCTAACATCATCATCATCATCATCATCTTCTTCTTCTTCTTCTTCTTCTTCTTCTTCTTCTTCTTCTTCTTCTTCTTCTTCATCATCATCATCAACATCAACATCACAGATACCTTTCTTAATCACAAGTCTCCCACACAAAACTCACTCCTAAAAGAATTTTGCGTACGCCAAGAACTTCGTGGTGTCACATTTTCAGCGTCCGGTAGTAAACGTCCCAGTCATCATCGGATGACCTAACACATTCAGATTTCTCCCAGGAGTATGAAAATACACGAAAGCATACATTAAAAGCATAAATAAATAAAATAAAGTAAATGAATAAAATAATAAAAATAAAAAAAAGTAAAAATAAAATAATAAAAATAAAAAAGTAAAATAAATAAATAAAATAATAAAAATAAAAATAATAAAACAAATAAATAAAATAATAAAAATAAAAATAAAAAATAATGAAAAAAAAATAAAATAAATAAATAAAATAAATTAGTTAAAACAAAAACGCACCAGAAAAACGAAATTATTTTTTTTACGTTTTCGTTCCTTGCATACAAAAAGTTAACTTGTACATTTCCCAACCTTTCTTTTTTCATCTTTTTAATGTTATTTTATGGCAATTTCATAAGATGTCCCAAGCCATTTTTCGCTGCCCATTGATTATTTAAAAGAAAACAGCTAAGATTTTCTGTTTTATTTTTTCAGACTTATTGCGAGTTTCTGTAGGTTTTAATCATTAATATTCATGCCAATTTGTATCCTCTCATTAAAATATATATATATATATACTTTTTGAACGAGTGAATCTCTAACAATATGCACTAGTTGATCTAGCATTTTAACAGATTTCTCTTATTAATTCATCTTTCATAATATTAGTCCATATAATATCCTACAATTTCTTAAAGAAATCGAACTGTATTCCAAAATATAACTTCAACAAAAGTATGACATAAAACACACATATCACCGCCTCTAGTAATTATGTCCAAACGAACATGTATATGCACAAAAGCTGAGTTTCATCTACCATGTATTCAATTGTGAAAGCAGAATAAAAGATATATTTCCTTACTTCAAACCTCTCAAGAAAATTAAATTTCGCCATTAACTTAGCCATAAGGAGTTGATATGTCATTAAACAAACAGGTAGATGAACAAAATAAATGATATATATATATATATATATATATATATATATATATATATATATATATATATATATATATATATATATATATATATATTTTGTGTATTTGTGTCTATATATATATATGTATGTGTGTATATATATATATATATATATATATATATATATATATATATATATATATATATATATATATATATATATATATAAAGTAGATTAGTAAAGTTAATGATATAAAAACATATTTCGATTCGCCTTATATTTTTTTTCGTCTCGATGCTAGGTGAATTTTAC